TGAATTTTCCACTTTCACGGATGTTCCGGATCTTTCGGAGGACGGTCCTATACCCATCAAGGTCCATGTTTATGTCACGACCCCAAATTCATTCTATCATCTCAGTTCTTAGTGTTTTTTTTCAAAAACTGCGGAGCTCTAGGATCAGTTTCATGGATTGATCACTTTTACGGATGTTCCGGATCTTCCGGAGGACGGTACTATGGACATCCAGGTTCAAGTTTATGTCACAAGCTCAAATTCTTTCTATCATCACAGTTCCTAATGTTTTCAAGAAAACAACGGAGCTCTAGGATCAGGATCGTGGATTTACTACTTTTACGGATGTTCCGGATCTTCCGGAGGACGGTCCCATGGCTATCTGGGTCCATGGCCCAAATTCATTCTTATATCACAGATCCTAATGTTAAAAAAACACGGAGCTCTAGGATCAGTTTCATGGATTGTCCACTTTTACGGATGTTTCGGATCTTCCGGAGGACGGTCCCATGGCCATATGGGTCCATGGTCCAAATTCATTCTTATATCACAGATCCTAATGTTAAAAAAAAACACGGAGCTCTAGGATCAGTTTCATGGATTGTCCATTTTTACGGATGTTCCGGATCTTCCGGAGGACGGTCCCATGGCCATCCAGGTACATTTTATGTCACGACCCCAAATATTTGTTTATATCACAGTTCCTAATGTTTTCAAAAAAAACCGCAGAGGTCTAGGATCAGGATCATGGATTGACCATTTTTACGGATGTTCCGGATTTTTCCAGGACCGTTCCGTTGTGTCCAGGATCCATATATAGGAACCATGACTGTATTCTGGCTAATTGTGAACATTTGTGCCCATTAATCTATATTACAGATCTTGCGCCACTTGCAAAACCCTACAAACACACTTTTCAAAAAAACGTGTAACAACTCTTTTCGCTTTTTAAAAAAGTAGACGACTCTATTTTTAAGTTTTTTGCAATCAAAATCATCTAGAAACCCTAGGAATTCTAAAGGTACCACAATTTTTGAAATTAATTAAGAAATGGCTAAGTGGTGCCATTGCAAACTTGCCGTTACACGTTTTTCGGAGGCATCGTAGTCGGCGTAAAGTTTTTTACCCACCGTATTCGGAGTGTTAAGGTCTCCTAAAACCCCTTGACCCATTAAGAAGTTTTTTTCTTTCTTCTATTTATATACACGAAAGAAGATTTCAGGAGTGACTATAATAAACAAAAATAGTAAATCTAATACATGTTATACTTTTCTGGGGAATGGTACATTCTGGGGAATGGTGCATTCTGGGGAATGATTTTCGGGGGAATGGTTTTCTGGGGAATGTTATAGAACCGTTGTCACTATCTATAACACCGTTAAAACCCGTTTTTAGGTATAGATAGATATGTGTTGAAGATATTATAACTGATTTGAATAAAGAGAGTTGCTAAAGCTCGTTGAAGTATCAGTCAGTAACTGTTGGTTATAGGAATTCATCAAATAGTGTGTTAAAAATCGGAAGCAAGTGTATTCACCTTGTTTATTCTGAAGGAAGCCAAATTTACGTAAGTTCTTAATTACTGATTACTGATTACTGAGTTCTTAATTATTGATCACTTCCAAGACCTTTAACACGAAAACAAATTTTAAACTTCCACAGGACTACTCATTGATAAGGTAGCGTACTACAACGTTCAAGAATATTGCTGTAATCCTTTCGAAATAGATGGCCACAAAGAAGTGAGGAAATCTTTGCGGTGTGTTACTCAAAACAATATGTTTGAGTTACATTCGAAAGGCATGCAATGATAACGGATAAAATGAAACTGTGTACATCTTGTCGGCTAAAGCTGTCACACAACAACAAGCGTGAGGATTTAGTGACCGCTTTTTCGGAGACAGTAGATACAGATCAGCACGTTTTGCCAGTTATAACGCATGTTATAACTCTATAGTCTGAACAAGGCATAATGTGACATAGAAAACAACAAAAAGAGAAAACCGTATTAGCAATAAAACAAAGAAAATAATACAAGCGGAACACTGCACAAGGTACCAAGCGACACCGACAGACTCTCTTCATCGATCCTCTTCCTGCAACCCACAGGCATGAAAAGACATTTTTAGCCATTGCAGCATACATTTCGATGTGTGCAGCTATTAGCAAAGGAGCAAATCGATAAAGAGACTCGATCAATGTCACCTAGGACCCCACGCTCAGCTTGTATAAACAATATCACATCACTAACCCATTTCCGTATAATTTCGGCAATCATACAGTCATCGAAATGAAGGGTTAGTACAACAATTTGGGAAAACTTAATGATGTGGTATTGTCACTGTGGAACTAGCACTTAGCTTCAGGTCTCTACAAGTAGGAACCCTTAATGAGCCCTTGCGGCACGTCAAGCGGGCCAGTTCAGCGCAAGGGACTTCATCCAGGTCATATTATAACAATTTGATTTTTTTTTAAAGAAGACTGTTAGACCGGTCATCAGTTTAATGGTATAAGATACTATCTTGAAATGTTCACCGAGCTTATACATTTCCAAACATGCAAACATGTTTTTGATAAAAATCCATGATACAGACGATAATTTCCACAGTTTTTCTTTTGGATTTCCTTTAATGGAGAAAAGATTCATTCGAAATTTATTTTCAATTGTATCTTTTATCAATAGCTGACAAAATTTCAAATATTTTTTTTGTTGAATGACTTTGACTGTGCGATGCTTGGTCAAAAGTTATGATTTTTTTAAGTTGGTGGTGTCCGAGAAAATTAGAAAACTTTAACTAGGGGTTTTCCGGAAAAATTGGCAACCCTGATTTTTTTGAAATTTACCTTTGCAATAAATTTATGAACTCTACCTATGGGCGAAGTTTCATAGAAATCGAAGACCCTTCGGCCCAATTTGTCCGATAATTAAAGATAATAATCCCCAAATTGGAAATACTGAAAATCAAGCAATATATCTCAAACCATTTTCCGTGGAATATTCTTGTTAAATGCAGCACAGAAAATGCTGGATAAATTATTGGAACAATGATTCATCAAATAAACCTGAAATCCTATTATGAAACTCGAGTCGAGCGTCACTTCTGGTCACTGGTCTATTTGGGACATTTGGGTATTACAGAGGGTCCTATATGTAAATTATTACTGAATTTTGTATGAAAGGAGTCAGAGTCAATTATTTTTAAATCAGATGACTTGGAGTAGTTGTCAGTCGATTTAGATCCAACTCCACAGCAGTAAATTTATTGATATTTTTTTTTCAAGTTAGAATAAGTTGCAAAAACTTGCATATTTTGTTATATTAGCGAAAAATATGGCAATTCAAACAGCTGAACGGTAACCTGATCTCAGGAGGATTGAATTTCATGATGGGACTGATATGCGATTATTTGCTTGATGGGATAAACTGACTTGGTGTAGTTTTCACATTTGTCATTATCAAAGTCCGTAATTTTATCGTAATATAAAAGTATTCAGATGCCCATTGATAATATTTATTTATTTATTTATTTATTGACTTATATTTTGTAACTTAAGACGTATGTCTTTCTTCTGTTACATCGATTATAGCAAAGTATAACAAGCGCCACAAGTATATTACAAAACAAAACAAAAATGATACGTAACACAAACTGAACTACATTTACTACTCAACTAAAATGCTCAATACATCCTCTCTTAAATGCTGTTAACGAATTTACATTAGTTAGACTATTGGGTAAAGAATTCCAGTGAACTACACCTCGCACGAAAAATGAGTTCCCGTACTTTGACGTGCGATGTCTTGGCAAAATTTATTTAATGGACCGATTGCTTTGTGAAGTTTGCAATTTTCTGTGTAGATAACCGGGTTGTTTTGTTCTCGACAGACTATGCAAAAATAAACAACAGCGTAGCTTGCCAAAGTTTACCAAAGGGCATCCTATTAGATGATGTTGCAGGTGAGAAACGCTAGAATATCTACTTAATTTAAAAACATATCGAACACATGAATTAAGAGCCACCTTAAGTTTATTGAACGTACCAGCAGATACATCATCGAGGAGAAAATCACATGCCAAAAAATAAGGAAGAAGGAGGCTTTTGAATAGTTTAATTTTAACATCAGTTCTAAGAAATGATGATGTTATGTGAAGTGAACGTAAACAAGCATAAATTTCTCCACATTGTGACAACACATATTTATCCCATCCAAAATTGGATTGAATACGGATACCCAAGCTGGTAGCATTATCGACGTATTCAATTGTTTCATTGTCTAAAAGCAATGAAGGTTTTAATATATTTTAAAAAGTAATTAAAAAATTGCGTTTGTTTTCTTGGAGTTCAAGCTACGCATATTCTTTACAGACCAATCTAGGATCCTCTTCAAGTCTTCATTAATTTTCTGAGAAATTTCAGCAACAGAATTACTTGCACAGTCAAAGTATACCTGAGCAGGACAAATAGCCTTTAAGAATTTCATTGGTAGCATGTCGACTCCAAGAGCATTTGATTTGATGGAGTACATGGTATTTATGACATCTACTTGGTTTATTCTATCAAAATAGAAAACATCGTGGTTAAACCCGTTTGAACCCGTAGAACTAAAACTTCGAATATTATTGTCGGAAAATAGATATAGATAATAGATAGCGTTTTAATCTAAAAATTTATCAAAATCCATATAGGACTGATATGCGATTAAATTCAGTTTAAATCTTATCCTCGGACAAGTAACGAATGACCCAAGAGTGTAAAAAGTAACTACAATAAAAAAATGCTAAGTATTATAACATCTTCTTCCTTCCTCCTCCTCCTCTCACGTGTTTTTTGACGTACTTTCACTTCCAACATACCAATGCATGAAGTTGTATATTGTGTGGCAAACAAAAATATACTCCAATAATAACGTGCCTAGGTGCCATAAGAATACATTTTCGTCAAATAAATTCCAAAGGGATTCGAAATTCCCGAAATAGAACAATGGAGATTCAAGTTTTGCGAAATTGTAGTTAACTTACCAGCAGAACCGATCGTGATTGTTCGTTCCCACATGCCAGGTAAAGTACAGATCCGGATATGTTCATACGGTTCATAGACCATATGTTCGTACACTTCATCAGAAACGCACAGGACGTTCCATTTCTTGCAGAGATTGGCCACCACTTCCAGCTCCTTACGATCCATTACCTTCCCCAGTGGGTTATGTGGGCTGTTGATGATAATCATCTTCGTGCGTTCATTGAATAAGGCCTCAAGTTCATTATTTTCGAGTACCCAATCGGCAGAAGATATAGCTCCTCCACTTATTTTCTGTTGATCAAAAATTTCTCGTTAGAAGAACTTATTAACAAGTACCTACGTAGATACTTAAAAAGCAACTCACCGGCTTCAATGGGATAAACCTGGGAATTCCGCCAGCAGCTTTTACCATTGGTTCGTAGCAGTCGAAAAATGGCTCGATGATTATCACTTCATCGCCTTCATCCACATGACCTTGAATGGTCGCGTACAAAGCTTCATAAGCCCCGACTGTAACCAAAACTTCCGTCATTGGGTTAATAGTCCGGCCTATAAGCTGAGAGTAGAGATTACTCAGAGCTTGTACCAATCGCGGATGGCCGAACCCTCTAGTGTACTGATTGGCCAATGGATCAGTACTATTCGCAACTGCTGCCAGGGCATCAGTGGCATACTTTGGCGCGTGATAATCAGGGAAGCCTTGGCCAAGATTCAAGGGTTTGTACTGGGCCGCTAACTGAATGTATTCAACCCTGCCAAATGAAATAGGCGAAAGAAAAAAGTAAAATAATAAACTTAATTTTCTGGCCTTATATATGATCTAATATAACAGACTATCGTACGATTAGGTAATAAATAACACTTATAATTGCAGCAAAACGGCTGCGAATTTGTACGCAAGTACTCACCAAACGCTTTTGGTACTGCCCTGATAGCGCTTCGGAAGGTCAAACTTGTTGTAGGTTTCATTAGTCGTAGACATTGTTCGATGTTGCTGATGACGGTGGTTCCGATGGACACTGTTGCCGGCACTGGTAAACGTTCTGCTTTTATGGAAGAACTGGAAGTCCTGCAATACAGTGTTTCTTATCGCACCGCCGATCGAATTGTGGTTATGGAGAAACATCTGCGTTACGTAGAATCAAAATATAAGGGCTTGAAAAGAATAAAAAAAATTACAACGTTGTTGATTAAAAATGACATAAGAACCGAATGAACCTCGGAATTCGCCTTGACACCAGTCCTGAAGTGACGTTTCTTCACACACATTTTGGGGTTTTGCGTTGGAGTGAGAGAATAAGAAAAAGTCCGCCATACATATTATGTCGTTTTCGTTTTTGCGGTGTAGCACCGGTGTAGTGTAAGCAGGAATATTTGTTTGTAAACAAAGGTGCATCCTATAGAGATTGCTGACGTTTATCGTACGCACACTACGTCACGTATACGTATACGCAAAATGTTTTCATCGGGAAAAAAAACTTCATAGCAGAAAATTTTCCCGATGAAAACAAATCACTGACACAATCATGCTTTAGCAATCTCTATATCCACCCGCTAATTTATTTCGGTGTACGGCAGTGTAGCACCGGAGTAGCTACACCGCAAAAACGAAAACGACAATAGACTGACAGATTTCTCCTGAGATTTTTACAGAGCTCTCGTCAACGCCAATTGGCGTTGACGGCACCGTCGAGAAATAATTTTTTTAATATAAATTATTTGCTCTTCCAGCAAATTTAGATAGTTTCTTATGGGAATTTTCGGTGGAGTGCCATGTTTCACGCACAGTCTGACGTTTGCTTATGGATTTTCTCATAGCTACAGAGTCGCCGTCAACGCCGTGAATTTGTTACAAATTTTGTTCTCATTTTTAAAAGCGACACCTATGAGTGGTTAATTAGCAACACCAAGTCAGGGCACAGTGGGGCGAGTATATTCACTGAAAACGAATCTTCCTCAGAGAGTGCGTCACGTTCATATGCACTGAAAACGAAGCTCCCTCAGAGATTGGATCACATTTACTCATTCATATGGAGCAATTTCTTAACGCGTATACACGCTAAGATGCACATACCTTAAAGTCGGTAAAGAATACCTAAATATCGGAAGAAATTACCGATAATCGAAGAAAGTGCACATCCCTAAATTATCGGTAATCATGGATTACCAATAACCAATAATAATACTTCGTTCATATTACAACCTATATCACGTAATATAGGCTGTCTTGCAATGAGCACTCATACATAGGACTTCCAGTGAAACCTACAACTTAATCTCCAAACCAGCTCGGTAAAATCTCCAACAGCCGATTACCTCGGCATTTAATTTTGCTGATATCTCTGCAAAATATCTGTTTGCTAGCTGATATCTCAGCAAAATGTTATTTGTTAGCTGAGTCTCGGCAATTGCTTTACTTAGTCTCAGCAATATAAATTGCAGAACTACTCGGCTGTTGGAATTTCGGCGAAAAAATTTAAGTGTGTAGATGTATGAGTCACTATGAGTGTTCATTGCAAGACAGCGTATATCACGTGATATACGCTGTAATGTGAACGGGGTATTAAAAAATAACCTAATTCGTAGTAAAAAATAGCCTATTTAAAGTAAAAAGTAACGATGTTTATCGGTAAAAAATACCGATAGCTTTTTACCGATAATTTTAGGTAACCGTAGCTAATACCCCATTCACATTACAGCCTATATCACGTATAGTCGCTAAATTCATAGTCTGGCGAATAGAATTTCGATTTATCAAAAAGCAGAACCAATTCAATATATTGTAGACCAACAACTGAAAAGGTTCTATCAACTTTTATAAACAAAACGTTGATTATTCTTTCCTCGCCAATCGAACGCAAATTACCAGCATCATCGGATAGGAGAAGCTTTCCCCAACCCAAAGATGGTATTAATTTGCGTAGGTGAGTCTTGAGTCACGAGAAAAGGGGTTCCGAAGTTTTGTTCGCAATAACTGATGTGCTCTTTTCTGTTGTTGATCGTGATTTGCTCGATTGGTTCCGCTATTTGACAGCTCAATTGGTTCCCGAGATTCTATCCGCCAGACTATGAATATAACGACTATATAATATCACGTAATATAGGTGTAATCTTCAAAGACAACGTATCAATATTGAATTGATATGATGTCTTTGCTGTCTTGCAATGAGCACTCATACATAGGATTTCCAGTGAAAACTAGATTGTTTTATTGTTTTATTGTTGTTTTACATCAACTATGGTAAAAAAATACATTCAAGCATGGTCATAACACAAAAAAACATTAAAAAACATATCTTATAGTCAGTTACTCCTGCCGGCGAAAAACAGAAGAAAACTTTCGACGAAGCGCATCACGGGAGAGATGAAAGTCGAAAACAGATGCAACTCTGTTGAATGTTCTCTGCAGTCCGCAAATCGCACCGTACGCTCCATAATTTGTGCGACATAGAGGCAGTCTTAGCATAAGGTTATTACGAAGCAGTCGGGGTTGAACATTCAGGTCAATTTGCCTCGATAGCCTCGCAATCTGTCCTTCCTTGCAGGATATCGGCCACGGAGGGCTCTGCTTGTGTCTCTTCTAGTCCGGAGAAGTTCTATTTAGGTCGATAAGTTGACAACTGCTTTCGTAAGTGGGTAATCGAGTGCTCATTGCAAGACAGCGTATATCACGTGATATACGTTGTAATGTGAACGAGGTATCGAGGGGGACGACTCTATCTACGCTGCAGTAAAGATTGTGTTGTGCTGTGGCTGGCTGCTCGCACGCTGAGTAGATAGAAAGAAGATTGATGACGATTCTGAAGATTTCCTGGAAAAAGATGATGCGCTATGCATGTAGATGCGAGAAATGCAAGAAGATTTGTCGAAGATTGATTCGCTAGTGTGAGATTTTTTGAGCATCTAAAATTGAGATTTAGATGTGTCGCCCCCCTCGCGAGGTATAAGAGTGTAGGTTACTAAGAGCTTAAACTAATTCGCGCCTGGTGACAGGAATAAGCACTATCCGAAAGTGATCAGATAGTGACAGCCCTTGTAAATTTCATGGAATTTATGGAAATTTGTTAAATTACGGTGCTAGTTCGTGTAAATATGCTATTAAAATGAATGAATCTTGTACAAAACCTAAAAAAAACGTGGGGCTTTAGGTAGTGATGAAAACGTCGCTAGAACTATTCCACAGCCGCAGTCAGTTTATGAGCAAAAAGAGGGACGCACATTTTTGCCTGTGGACTTGGAGACATACTTCAAGTCCCCGCGTACATCGTACGGGTTAGGCAAAAATGTGCGTCTATCTTTCAAAACTGTCGCATTAATGGCCCTTCGCTCATTTTCAACTTCTATTCAATTTTCATACTGCCGTACTCTAACGGAACTATCCACCTACCCTCTTCTAAAGATCATTCTCTAGCTAATAAATCATCACACTAAAGCTTCATGTTAGCATTTCCAACCAACTCTGAAAATCGTTAATTTCGCGTATGAAGTAACATAAAAACACTTTGAATGTAAAAAAAAACTATTGTAATATGTGTCTATCCTGAAATAAAAATTAAAAGTTTTCAAATAAAATTTAAAAAAACCTGCTAAGGAGATGGTTATGTTAACAGCCATACCACCATCCGGTGAACACTCGTGTTTATTTCAGTTACCGTGGGGACGTAATTTGTGATTAGCCCCGATCCCTTTCAAATTGTATCATTATTTATGTACAGTCCTTATATTTGAAATGACGTTTCACATTCATCTAGTGATGGCCGATTTTCATTCGAATAATAGATAATTCGCGGACAAGAGCTCGTTCTGCTCAGACGTATACTAGAGTTGATCGTGAAGTATAGAGTGTTTTAAAACAATAGTCCTCTGTGGCTATTGTTTTCACTTTTTTTTTTGTCTTTTGTATAAGCGGAATCTTTCTGTATAGGAAGAGTAAAAATGGCAAACAGCGTTAGAAAGAACACAGTAAAGTTGATTTTTGGACCGGACAGCAAAATACCATCGTACCTGGATGTACTCAAGTTTTCTATGGACGTTTTGAAACTTTCGGCGGCTGACATTCACACAATCTACAAAGATGAAAATGGCGAACAATTCTACATCAAACTAATCGACGATCACACGTTCTCTGCGTTCATTTCCGAAGCACATGAATCGTACAACTTTCAGTACGAAGATGGAGGAACAGCAAGGGTCCAAGTGGACCAAGCATCACGGATTTTCAGGTACGTTCGCATTTTCAACTTACCACCAGAAATCGATGATCGGGAGATCCAGTATGTACTGGGTCAATACGGAACAATCCGACAGCACGTGCGAGAGAGGTTCCCAAGTGAAATGAAAGTGAACATTTTCACTGGAATTCGAGGCGTCCATATGGAGGTTTCGAAGGAAATTCCTGCCAACATCTACATCGGGCATTTTCGTGCTCGAGTTTTTTATGAAGGTTTGAAAGGTCGATGTTTTTTCTGCAAAGCAGAAGGACATATGAAGTTGGATTGCCCCAAGCTGGTGGCGATACCTTCAGGAGGTGGAGGTAAACCGAACCACTCTGGAGGTGGCTTAATGAATCAAAAATGTTTTCTAGAATTTTAGCTACTTTAAACATTAATGCCATCAGCTCAAGAATCAAGATTAAAATGCTCAAAGATTTTGTGTGGAACTATTACATTGATTTTGTTTTTCTACAAGAAGTTTCTTTCGAAGATTTTAGTTTTATTCCAAGTCATATTGCTTTGGTCAATATCAGTGAGGATCGTAAAGGCACTGCTGTATTGATAAGAAAAAATATACAATTTTCCAGCGTTTTGATGAATCCCAATGGACGAATAATTTCGGTATGTATTGGTGGCGTAAACTTTATCAATGTGTATGCTCACTCAGGATCAAAGTTTCGAAAAGAACGTGATCGATTGTTTTCGGAAGATATCCTTCCTCATTTGTCTACTGATGCCCCAAATGTGATTTTAGGAGACTTTAACTGCATTCTGCTAAAGCGTGATTCGAACGGAGCCGTCAAAAATTTGTGTCAAGAATTGAGCCAGCTAATTTCATCTTTTGATTTGCAAGACGTCGGGAGGGTTAGGGATAGAAAAACAATATATACATTTTTCAGAGGTGAATCCATGTCAAGGTTGGATAGGATTTATGTTCCGAGAAACTTTCTTGACAGAGTACTAAAATTCGAAACCACAGCTACAAGTTTCTCTGATCATCATTCGTTAATTTTGAAATTTCAAGTAGATTCAAATGAAGACGTCCGTGATTACCTCTCACCCCAGCAGGCTTGGGTTCAATCCCAGTCGGCGCCGCCGGGATGTTCTGAGGCATAACATCTCTGATCACGCCTTCCTTCGGATGAGAACTAAAACCGTTGGTCCCCGGTTAATGAGTTGATGGGTCGATAGGTAGGGTCCAGGTGTGGGAGCTGCCTTCCTGGCACGTCGGTAGCATTGGTGCTCAGCACGGAAAACAAGATCGACGGAAAAAACAAACCAAAGGAAAAAAAAATGAAGACGTCATCTCATACGGAAGGGGGTTTTGGAAGATTAATCCTTCTCTCTTAAACGATGAGGACATTTGTGGTAGCTTTAAAAAGGAGATTCTTGCGGTTAGACGAAGAGTAGTTTACAGTGAATATTTTTGCCGATGGTGGAATGATCATTTTAAAACTAAAGCACGTAGTTTCTTTAAGTCAAAATCTTATGAAATTAACAAGAGATTCTCTGAATCCAAAAGCTTTTTATACGGCTGTTTGAAGGAAATATCTGAAAAGCAAAATTTAGGAGTAGATATGACGAAAGAATTAGGTTTCGTTAAAACAAAAATGATGGACATTGAACAAAACCGGGTAAATAATTTAAAACTTAAAATTCGTTCTAGAATTATTTTTAATGGGTTTTTAACGAATAGTATAGCAGTTCGTTCATCTGTGCGTCAAGGTTGTCCTTTAAGTATGGCGCTATTCATTTTGTACATTGAGCCCCTTATAAGGATGTTGTATGATAACGTAATGGGATGTTACATTGATGAAGAATTCATAAAAATTTTAGCATATGCAGATGATATCACTATTTTCATTCGCAACAACCATGAATTTGATAACATGCTGGAATTGATAAACTATTTTAGTATTTACAGCAAAATAAAATTGAACATTAAAAAGTCTCTTTTTATGAGATTAAACAACTGCACTAGCGGCCCTCATTTATTAAATGAAGTTGATTCAGTGAAAATCCTCGGAGTCGAATTTTTTCACTCCTTTCAGGACACTATAATGCATATCTATTCTAAAATAATTAGTAACATTAAATATTTGATATCAATACATCTTAGGAGACTATTAAATATTTTCCAAAAAGCATGGGTTTTAAATTATTTGATTTTTTCAAAATTATGGTACTTGTCACAAATTTCCACACAATGCTCATGTAGCGGAACTAAAGACTATTAGCAGAAATTTTATTTTTAAAGGTATTGGACTATTTAAAGTTAGCTTAACTCAATTGTATCTCGATGTAGACAAAGGAGGAATATTTCTCATTGACGTTGAAAGCAAAATGAAATCCTTATTCATTAAAAACATACTATTTGGAAGTCAAAACTCTGGAAAAGATAACTTTTTGATTTCTCAAAAAGATAACCGTTGCCTCACTCGAGATGCACGTGAGTGGATAAACTGTGCCATAGCATACGATAATTTCACTGATATGGTCTCAAGCAATAGAATTTACAATTATTTAATTAGTATACAAAATATTAAACCTGAAATTGCTGAAAAATATTCTAATTTACAATGGGAAGCCCGTTGGACAAACATAGGAAAAAACTTTATTCCACTAATGAGAAGCAAAGTTTATTTTTAGTTTTCAATGACATCGTTCCCACAAAAGCTAAGTTGTTGTTTTATAAAGTTAGGGGGACTGATAATAATTTATGTAAGTTATGCGGTAAGGTAGACACAGTAGAACATCGTATAAAAAATTGCAAAAGTAATTAAGAAATTTGGTTTTGGATAAAGGAAACAATTGTAAAAAAGCTTAAAATTACAGTGAATGATCCTGAAGAAATATTAAACAGAACTATCGAATCAAAACAATACCAAAGTAAAACAGCTTTATGGCTTGTTGCTCAAGGCATAAACTATAATTTGTCAAATAGTGAAAAACGTTCAGTACATGATTTTACTAAAATGTTGCGAGAGAAGAGATGGAATAATATAGCTCTATTAAAGAACGAGTTTAAACATTGGATTAACTTATTGTAATTTGGAAAGGATGTAGTATGTAAAGTTTTTTTTTGAATAAAAAAATATCGATTAACGAACCGAAAAGTAAAATATTTGTAATCGGTTATATCATGTCGGTTATAAGCATTAACATCTCCAGAGGATCAGCACAGCGAACAAAAAAAAATCGATTAGTTGTTAATCGAGTAATTAAAAGATGGGACATCTCTGATTTTGGTGTGATTGTTTTGATCAAAATGAGCGCAAAATTTCATCTCAAAACCACAAAATTACCTTGAATACGGGGGTATTCATTGGATGAAAGGAACCGTGAAAGAGGACACTAAAATAAATAAATTCATCTTTGGTTTCATCTTCAACGCTGTCCAGACTGGAGAGTTATAACATGTTATAACGGTTGTCAAATAATTGCAACACAGATACCACCATCAAGATAGCGCTATAACATGTTATAACTCTGTAGTCTGAACGTACTATTAGTATTCATCTTTGATACCACATCGATTAATGTTGATATGAAGCCGCCCTATGTTATGGGTAATTTGCTTAACGACGTGTTCAAGGTATCATCCAAACCATTTGTGGAATAGTTCAATGATTTGGGTTATCGTTCGTTTATGGTAGTTTTTTAATTAGGGCGTGACCAACCAAATTAAATAAAAATAGAAGAGCCCCTTTGTAAAATGTATTCCAATGCAGGCACTCGATGCTGGTTGTTGGTTTAATACGATAGGATTGTATTCGGATACGATTTGCAACCATATTACGTTCGTACAAACATCATAAAAAAAATCAGTAGTGAAGCCGGACTCAGCAAACCGTACTAAAATTCACTTTTGAGGAGGACATTGAGTTGCCTAACGTCCATGGCGTCTGGAATAAATTGACCCAGAAATGAAAACTAATTAAATTTTCGGTGTAATTGAACAGAATCTAGCAAAAAAGTAAAGTACTTAAGTTTCACAACAGAACCGAAGAACACTCAACATCGAAAAGGCAACAAAGGTTGAGTTTGACAGTACAAAGTTTACAAATCTGATCAGTAAGTTTTACGGAAATGCTGTACTTTATTGTTGTTTTTTTTATAAAAGATTATGTTTACAGTACATTCGTTACATTTTTTTTTTTTACAGAATTGCGGAATCGCAGCCATTTACAGTTTCAATCAGCAAATTTGATTTACAGTTTTCGGTCAATTTCTGCAAATTACGGAAATTCAGCAGTTATGATTGCGGAAAATTGGTAATATAATATTGTTTACAAAGCATTCGGTAAAAATGATATTTCACCGAACAAATCCAGCAAAAAAAGTACCGAACGAGATTTAAGAAATTTTGTGTGTGGAAACGTACACGAAAGGAGTTCTTTTGGTTCTACGTGAACACTATATAGATTAACCATATTACGCTTTTGCAGATGTCAAAAAGGAGGATTTAAATGCAGCTTATGTCAACCGACCTACACACCGGAATACCTGATACCCACAAGTATAAACAAGACCCCTAACAAGGAATAGATAATGTTACAGACCAGTCAGAGTTGTTATTCTCGAGATATCACAAGGCAACTGCTTGGGGCCGTCGTTGTTGTTGCAATAGCTTCAATCGTTATACCAATCGAGAAACAACAAGGTCAAAGACATCACGATAAGGAAAAAGAGTACCCACACTCGAAGGCCGGCGTTCCGCTGGATTGCTTGTTTAATTTGCTCGTTGGCATCTTTCACGTTTTCGGTAGCACCCACCACAGTATTGGCGATTCGTTCAATGTCAGTTTTCTGCAGGGAAATCTGAAATAGAGGTTGGTTCGTTCAGAGGGCATTTTTCAGTAACTCTATCGCAGTGCATAATACCTTTTCCGTGAAGATTTCCTGGAGATGAGCAATGTCAACTACGTTCTTCTCTATCTGTTCCACCTCTTCCGATAGGCCTTTCAGTTCATTATAAAGTTGCACATTTTCCGACTCGAAAATCTGAAATCAAATAAAAGTAAGGCGGTTCCTCAATGTGCAACAATTGGGCAGGATTACCTGTATATCTTCAGGACTTAGTTCCTCTTCTTCCTCCAGGAAAGAACTTGTGTTATCTAGCTCTTCGTCCTGTGAAATCATTTTAGCCTTTGATGCTCCCAAATGGTCGGCGTAGCCGTCCATTTCATCATCGTCTACCGTTGACGACCGGTTGTTGTCCGTTTTGCGATGCTTTTTAAGGCCATTCGCTGGAACGCTTAGCAACTTAGGAGGAATAACGGAAAGTGATTTTCTATCCGAGTTGAGCTTAAGAAACTTGTATGTCTCCAGTTCCCGCTGTATCCGGAACTGCCGCTGCTCGTTTGCAATGTGATGGACAGCGTTCATGTACCCGGACAAGGCTTCTAACACCAGTTCCATAAATTCGGTCATTTGTTTACTACGCTTCATTTTCCGGCAGTCGGCTTTGAAGTCGTTCAACATTTCCGTGCACATCCGGATAATGTTTTCTGATTCTCGGTCTATAATATCACGCTCTTCGTCTGTCATTTGTGCGGAGTTTTTCAAGTGGTATGCAAATTGCATGTAGGCAGCACGGTTCTCTACAAGCAGATTTTTCAACTGGGTAATTTGGAAACGAATCTTCTTGGATTTTTCCGAAAATTCATTGTTCGGCTTTTTAGAGAGGATCCTCGATTTATTCGGCATCGGGAACGTATTTCCCGAAGATTTCAGGCGCACTGTTTTCACTGAAGCTTTGAATAAGGATGTGATATCCATTTTCAAAGCACGATTGTCTATTTAGAAAGAATTACTAAATTTTAAAATCAGCTTTTTTGCATTACTGTTCTAATTTTTCTTTTCCAATATCGGAAAACAGAAGAAAATGACACATCATAATGTTTACACCATATGACATTTATGTCTTCAACCATGAAAAGTTGAAGTTTCGGTACAATCCGATGCATTAACATCGGTTCTCTTGGCAGCACTGCATGTCATTCCAGTAAGAATACACCGTGAACGGACTCCAGAAAATGCATTCCCTTGCATTGAAAAGTACCGGCAAACAGGCAACGTCATCGAAAGAAGCGAACGAACAACACAAAGCCGTAGTCAGTCTGCAGTCAACCTTCGCGAAAATCACACGTGTGGCGATCTCTAATTGGAAGCGGTTCGGTTTGAATAGAAAGTCTTGTTTTTCATTTTGTGTCCTGTGTTAAAGAAGTAGAAGACGTCACTTTCCAAAATGCCTACCTATCACAAGCCGGAATCGAAAACTATCCAGGAGCTTAAGGATATCGCTCACAAGCTGCGTATCCACTCGATTACATCGACTCAAGCATCGAAATCTGGGTAAGTGGCCGACCGTGTTAAATTCCTCCGTTTGTCCAAGGACTTGATAGTAATGACTGTGGTGCCTGAAAATGAGACCGCATGGAATTCCAATATAAGCACTTCCGATTAAAATAGAAAAAAAATACAAGGAAAAGAAGAGACAGGAACAGAGACGATTCTGGAAAGTGTTTTATTTCGATAATAATTGTTTGCCACAATGATTTGGCAGATATAAAATGTACATACGTCGGTCGGTACTCACCAATCCATGTAAAGATGTTGACCGAGAGTGCCTCTCCTATCAGTGCAATTTTTACATGGCCTCCAAAAGGTTAGTAACGTATGAGCAAGAAACAGTGTCTCATTCCTCGCCGTAGCGCGACTTCTGTTATAGGTAGTAGAGGTCAGAAAGAGGTCGAATGGACGTATATTCACTTATTTACAGGACGCGATTGGAGTCACAATCACTGCTTTGCATTATGCAATCGAAAGTCGTTTACTTTTACTTTTGCGTAACTGATGCCGAACGCTGAGATAAGTGTTAGTACCGGCCGAGCAACCGTTGAACAGTTTATAAAAATGTTATAATTTAATTTCGGTTTGCATCGATTTGTCTGATTCGATGTTGCTGGACCCCCCCTACGATGGGGTGGTAAAATGAATTATAAATTCAAATCAGGAATTACTTTATGAAATGACCGTCACTTTGTAATGATAATTTTTTAAGTGGGTCTGAAAAAAATAAGGCAAAACAAGTTTTCTCGTGTTCGAAACATAATATTTTTGGTCTTATTTTTTATTCGGGTTTTTTTAGTCTATGGCTGATAATCTCTTTAATAATCGATAACTAACTGTGCTTGGGATAACTTGGATATAATTACAAAAAGTTTCCCAATTTTGTTAATATTTCGCGAAGTTTAATACAATTCCAAAGTGATATGTACTGGGGGATCCAGAGTCAAGTATACCACCCTAACGATAGTACGTTCTATGTATTCTATATCGTGGATTTTGTATAGGAGCTAGTACATCGAACTGCAAGTTTATGACATTGCCAATATAAAAATATTTATATTCGATAACCGTAGGTAGTATTTTGGAAAATAGTACTTTTTTAAAATAAATCATAACTTTTTTGTTTATGAATTGCCCAGCAAATACACATTGTCAGTGAGTAGCACTTTATCTAAACTACAATATAAATATAAAAAAAAAATTAAAAAAAAAATGCAATTTGAGCATTTTTTTATAATTTTGATTTTTTTTTGTAATTAATAAAATAATTTTTTACAGTGTAAATTTTTTCTTGAAAGGCATCAGAATTGACGAGTGCACGGATGGATTTGAGTTCACTCACTCGACAAAAAGTGACACAACAGCGGGGCCCTGTTTACTAAAAATGAACATATATGTGTTCATTTTTAGTAAACAGGGCCCCGCTGTTGTGTCACTTTTTGTCGAGTGAGTGAACTCAAATCCATCCGTGCACTCGTCAATACTTGTCCGCAACTTCGCCAAATGTCTAAAACGCATTTACTTACTCTAATTAATCATAAATGGTGCATAATGTGACAAAAGCCTCAATAAATTGCGATCCTATCAAAGATGAATACTAAGATGAAACAGTCGGAAGAAAAACTTTCTATTTTAGTGTCCTCTTTCACGGTCCCTTTCATCCAATGAATATCCCCCGTATGCAAGGTAATTTTGTGGTTTTGTTTCCCCCTCACGGTGTTTCGCAAAAACCGATTAATGGGTATAAAAACACCCATTTCCGCTAAAAGTGCCCCTCCTTATTTAATGGGTAAACTATGGTTTACTCATTAATGGGTAAATGGGGTATCTGTCAATAAATGGGTGTTTTTTTACCCATATTCTTAAATTGTGTTTTTCGTAAAATGCGTAAAAAAAATACCCATTTCTTAAAATGGAGGATGCTGATGCTGGGTTATTTGTCCTCGTTGATATAAAAAACTTTCTAATATTTACATTGAAAATAAATGCAGGTGTAGTGAAAAAAATATTACACGAGATATTATAATATCATATTGCATAGCACTGTATAGACTTATCCGTCCATTTTTGCTTAAAAAAAAGCGGACGGAAACTGTTTGCATTTCCATGGTCGCAATGGTCGGTGACGGAATGAGACGAAAAAATTTCCAAGTGATTTTTCACCCATTAGTGGGTAAAAAATATACCCATTATGCAATCGTGAACTGATTCTTTAAATGGGTATTTTTTTTTACCCATAAATGGGTTTTCACAAAACACCGTGCTGGTATAAAAAACTTACTAATATTTACTAGAGTCGGTGTATAATGAGTCACGCCAAGAGAAAAACAGTTGAACTCGCATCACGGTTTTCGAAAGATTCCCTTTCTTTTCACTTGGCAACAGAGGACTTCTACATCAACTTCAAATGACTTCTAGCGAGAAAAAATATAGCGGCTGTAGTAAATCATTATATCAGTGATTTAGTCAAATTATCTCAACCAAAAATAGTAGAAATTCTCATAAGTGATCATTACCAAACGTATCCCATGACAATTTATTGCTCACTACGAGTTTATGATCATTTCTTCGATTATATTTTATATTTTATTGCAATACCTTTCGTGGACTTTTCATAGCATCGTAATGTTTGTTTACTCTGCACAGAGTGGCCAGATTATTTTTTTCATTATCGGTAGCTTCTCAAAACTTTTATCGGTAGTTATCGGTAGGTCGACTTAAGAAGGCTTTCCCGATACTTGAAACTTTTGTGAGCGGGGGGGGGGGGGGGTGACTCTGCTCCAGAACACTACACTGTCCTTCAGTTTTTCTGCTTTAAACGTGTCGAAATCAATTTTTCTAATTATAATCTAAAAATCTGTGATTCTCGGTAGGAAAAGTGAAAAATCGGTAGGTTTGAACCTTTCGTCTGTGAATCGGTAGGCACCCCGAAAATCGGTAGGACTACCGATAAATCGGTAGGTCTGGCCACCCTGACTCTGCACGATAGGTAGCCGGTTTGACAGCTCAATAGGTAGACTTGGCTTCATTATACACCGACTCTAATATTTACATTGAAAATAAATGCAGGTGTAACGAAAAAAATTATTACACGAGAAAGTATAATATCATATTGGATAAAACTGTATAGACTTATCCGTAAGTCTCTCCAATGTTTCGGAATCTAACCTTTTCCAGAGATCGTCCATTTTTGCTAAAAATAAAAGCGGGCAGAAACTGATTGCATTCCCAATGGTCGGTGACGGAATGATACGATAAAATTTCCAAGTGTTTTTTCACCCATTAGTGGGTAAAAAATATACCCATTATGCATTCGTGAACTGATTCTTTAAATGGGTATTTTTTCACCCATTTTATGATTTCCAAATTTCCCCATTTTTTGACAGCTGCATACATGGTTTGAAAATGGGTATTTTTTTTACCGATAAATGGGTTTTCACGAAACACCGTACTCGGTAAAGATGAAATTTTGCGCTCTTTTTTATCAAAACAATCACACCAAAATCAGAGATGTCCCATTTTTTAAATTCCGGAGTGATTTGAGATTTGGGCGTAATTGCATTTGTAAACAAACACGTCAATCGTCGATTTCTCGCGAATAAAATCTCAATTTCGAAAGCTAACAACACTATGAGGTAGAGAATGGATTCCTCTATCATTTGGTATAGTTAGTTTACGAGATTGAGTTTTTATTGACGAGAAATCGGCGATTGACGTGTTTGTTTACAAAAGCAATTACGCCCAAATCTCAAATCACTCTGGAATTATTCGATTAACATCTAATCGATTATTTTTTGTTCGCTGTGCTGCCATTTTTCCACAAATGAGAGTGCAGCATATGTTTGAAACGATGGGTGATGATCCTCTGGTGAGGTTAATGCTTATATCAGCATGATATAACCGAATACAAATATCTTAATTTTCGGTTCGTTAATCGATTAATCGATAATTAGAATGAAAATCGGCCATCACTAAATGAATGTGAAACGTCATTTCAAATTTAAGGTCGTACATAAATAATGATACAATTTGAAAGGGACCGGGGCTAATCCCTCCCCTTGGCTAGTTTTTGCACCTTGATGCTGGTGGGCGGGCTTAATTTCATGCTTTTTAGTGGAGTGTTGGAGACGGTAGGTTTATGGCCGGCGTTGCTGGCTCATGCCGCGATAGAATGGGGATTACTAAGCTTCCCCTCTCTGATAAACCACTGCATGAGAGAACCAAAGATCTAGTCTAGCAGTGATAGTATCACACTTGTTACTCCTTCGATTGAGAGCCGCGTCGTAGTACGCTTACGTATAGGCACTGACGTTGGGTGTGATACTGGCGGGTTTTGCCGCAAATCACTCTTAATTTATTTATTTTCAAGCAGATAGATTTATTTGGGTTTGCAAGGGAATTATACTATTTAAATATTTCAGAAAGTGCCGAACGGTGCTCCTTCTATTTGCGTGACAAGCTTTCATTGTTGTTTTCATTGAAGTATTATTCAGGAAACAATGTTAAACACCATTTTTGTACATGGTATATGTGCTTCATTTTGATTTGGGATAAGTGTTTGAACTATGACTCGGGATTTCCACTGTAGTGTGCTTCTATTGTGACATACCCATATGTATTTTTGTGGTGCGACATAGTGGAAGCGTGAGAGCGTAATTGGAACATTTACCCTATACAATATACAATTTAAAATTAGCTTGGAAACTTACTTCAAAGCATTTTAGTCACTTGAAGGTGTCACCTGGGATGAACAAAGGTATAATTAATATATGTCAAAGCCAGAAGTACTTAAAACACGTTAAATTTAAGTTTAAAAGCATGGGTTATGATTGTGTAGGTAGATTAGAGATTTCAGTTATTTATTAAATAAACTTCAATTAGAGAATTCAGAAAGTTAATTAACATAAGAGATAGGGAGGCGACTAGCCTTTGAAGTTGTATAATAAATCTTCCTATTTAGTGTATTTGTTAATTACAGGCAATGTTAATAGCGAAAGTCATAT